CGCTGGAGCAGGCTCCTGGCAGGACCTGTGGACCCATGGAGAGAGAGGAGCCCACACTGCAGCAGGTTTGCTGGCAGGACTTGGGACCCCGCGGGGGACCCATGCTGGAGCAGTCTGCTCCTGAAGGACTGCGCCCCGTGGAAGGCACCCATGCTGGAGCAGTTCGTGAAGAACTGGAGCCCATGGGAGCTACAGCCCCTCTCACATTGGAGAAGTTCACGGAGGACTGTCTCCTGTGGGAGGGACCCCATGCTGGAGCAGGGGAAGAGTGTGAGGAGTCCTCCCCTGAGGAGGAAGGAGCAGCAGAGACCATGTGTGATGAACTGACTGCAACCCCCATTCCCTGTCCCCCTGCACCACTTGGGGGGGAGGAGGTAGAGAAAATTGGGAGTGAAGTTGAGCCTGGGAAGAAGGGAGGGGTGGGGGGAAGGTGTTTTAAGATTTGGTTTTTATTTCTTATTACCCTACTCTGATTTGATTGGCAATAAATTAAAGTAATTTCCCCAAGTTGAGTCTGTTTTGCTGGTGACAGTAACTAGTGAGTGATTTCTCCCTGTCCACCCATGAGCCTTTTGTTGTATTTTCTCTCCCCTGCCCAGCTGAGGAGGGGAGTGATAGAGCAGCTTTGGTGGGCACCTGGCATCCAGCCAGGGTCAACCCACCACACTGGGTAAAAGCTTGCAGTGGTGCTTCATGACAAAAATGTAATTGTTAAGAACATTAGTTTAGTTCCACACTTCACCACAGTGTACAGAGCAAGCTCTGGCTGGTCACCTTGCTAGAGCTCTTGAGTCCATATTTCTTTTGTTGCAAATGTACAATTCCCATATTATCCTGTAATCCCCCTAATGGAATATATACATATTTGGAATATATGCTTACCAGAACTGTCTCTATCATACCAACTATGCCTAAACCCTGTATTTTGAAACAGTTACTTCAGAAATGGGAGCGGAGCCTGTAACTGATGAAGCACAGGAGATTTTTGCCTTTTGGTTACATTCAGATGTCGAGTTTATTATGATTCCTCAATTACACAGGTGAATAAAGAACAGCAAGGTCAGAGGCAGGATCAGAGGAAACACTGTCACTGTTTTTGACCCAGATTTCAGAACTGCAGTGTGAGATGCTGGATTCGTGTGAGATTTTGAATTTATTTTAAACACAGCCATTTACCTTTGAGACACAAATCTTTCCCAAATGGTGTTCTTTGGGCTGTTGAGGAATATCACAATGTTTTTTTACCTGTGGACTCCCTCAGGCTCTTCAGTTATTACTGATAGTGAATGAAACCAACTCTGCATAGGAGTGGGGAATTCATGGCAAAGGCTTGCTCAAGGCGTAATGGACAGACTCAACAACAGAGATGGAAACAGATGTGCTCTTAGCCCTCCTGTCCTTTGCAGTAGAATTTGCCTCTGTTTCTCTAGGGTTGCTTTGTCATTTCACTTGAATTTTTTTTTTAAAGCCACCTCACTGGTATTAGTTTTAACACTTGTCAGATACTTAATTCGCTTCAGACAGTACAAAGTAATTGGTCTCATCTGTCAGGTAAGGTATGGATATTTATTCTGAGAGCACAGAAAATATGGTCTGTACTCAGGCTTTCATTATTTCTTACAGGACACAGATATATCAGTCAAGCTGCAGCTAAAATTGATGTGGATTTTGATTATGATGGACCTCTAATGAAGACAGAAGTTCCTGGACCGCGATCTAGAGTAAGTTCCCAAAGTATAATGGCTTGTATTTTTTTTTCTTTAGGTGTGTTTAATGTTTAACTTGCTAGAAAACAAATTTCATTCCAAACCTTAAATCTGATATGCATAAACATCATTGCCCAACAGTCTAGGCCCACTTTTATCAAGATGCCGAGAATGCAAAGCTCATGAATGAAATGCCTCTCTCTGAGAGAGAGATCTGAATCTCAACTGCCAGCTTCCCATATGAAGTAATGGAAAGCAAAAGAACATCGGTTTGATGAAACATCTCATCAGACTTGGTTACTTGTGCTCCTGCTCAAACAGAAACTTATTTGGCTTTTTATGATGTGAAATAATGCTTTAGTTTTGAAATGAAACAAGAGTTTCAATTTGCTGGACATTGTTTTACTCTGGCAGAGTCAGTATTTATATGTGTGATGGTGTGGTCTGTCTTTCTAGAACCAATGTGCCAGTATGCCTTCTGTGTGTCTCTGGCTTTTCTTATTTTCTGACTCTCTTGTTTTCTCAGTTCAGTTGATCAATACAGAAGAGGTAGGTTTCCCTTTCTGGAGATTTACAGTTAAACTGTATATGCAGCCCATGTAGCTCTGCATGCCACAGTTAATAGTTTTGACTGTCGTATTTACAAGATGCACTATGAAAGTTCACACAGCAAGTAGAGTTGCCTGGTAAGCATATAGGACTGCAAGCTTTGCATATGATTTATGTGATCATAAAAAAGAAACATACATTCTTCTTCAGTATTTGGTAATTACATTCCTGAGACTCTTCAACGTTTGTTTTTCTACAGGAATTAATGAAGCAGCTGAATGGAATTCAGGTAATTTGTCAAGTTTTCTGAGTTTGGGGAGTCTTAATACTGTGATTTCAGAACTTGTTTTAAAATCCTGTTTTCAATGTTTAATTCCATACCAAAAAACACTGACTCTGGGTTTGCATGCTGAGTATGTTATGTATGGTATATATGTGCCTTAGAATAAAATCCTTTTTACTGTGTGTTGAATACTGAAGAATTATTTTGCTAGGATCGGTGATTTTGTTTTAAACGCTGTGTACCTTTTGAGTTGTTATGAAGTGGCCAGTGAAAACATAGTTATATTTGAGCTTGAAAGTATGTCAACCTAAGTGCATATTGCCTTCCCAAGATGAGCAATTCCTCAGTCTGTGCTTCATTTCTGCAGAAAAAGTGCATACTTGCCCTTTTAACAGTCCCTCTTTTTAAAAATAGCTCTACAGTTAATTCCCATGCAATGAATATAATCATAGAATGGTTTGGGTTAGAAGGGACCTTCAGAAGTCATCTAGCCCAACCCCCCTGCAATGAGCAGGGATATCTTTAACTAGATCAGGTTTCCAGGGATGGGGCATCTACAACCTCTCTGGGCAATGTGTCTTTGTATCTTATCATTAGATATTTTTATCGGATTTTGCTGTATAACCATTAGTTGCACCTTCCTACACACTGCTACTTTTTAAAACATTAATTGTTTGTTTTTTCCTTTAAGAATGCAGAAGCTGTACACTTTTTTTGCAATTATGAAGAGAGCCGAGGGAACTACCTAGTAGATGTAGATGGCAATCGCATGCTGGATCTCTACTCTCAGATTTCATCCATCCCAATAGGTAGGAGATAGTTGTACCAAAAGTTTTTGCTTTGTCCTCAAGCTATTGTTTTCTTATCTCAGCCGCTACCAGAGAAGTTGGTTGATAAAAAAAACAAAGCTGACGTAACGTATGCCTTGTTGCAATCAGGGTACACCTCACTGCTGTGTATTTTATGTAGTAGTGTTTTTAAATAGCTGAAGAAACTACAAATTCAATACTTACAGCTCACTTGAAGTACATAGTGGTACCTGGAAGAAGCTCTAGTATTAATCTTAATTTGAATATGCAAGTTCCACAATTTAGGTTGTCTTTGCTTGGATTTCTGTACTTTGTGATTCTGCAACAATATGTTACTGTTTTAAACATTAACAAACATAACATAAACATTTAAACATTAAATTATGTACTTTAGTTAACATTTCTGTCTCAAAAGAACTAAAAAAAAAGAGTCGGCCATGTGGACTCCAGTAGGATGAAGCCAGACCAAACACTGAACTGTGGTGCTGAGTGAATGCAAAGGTGGCAGGTCAGTTGGGCTGAGGGACCAAACAATGGACTTGTCAAGTGCTTGGGAAAGTCAGTTGATTTTTTTTGTGTGTGTGTGAAGCATTCAAGAAATAAAGGAAGCAAGGCAGAGATGTAGGCCCCAACTGCAAGGAATATAGCTTTTAGTAGGTGTTCAGTTTGTTTGTTCCTTGTCCATGGTTCCTCTCATTTGCTTAAAAATACATTTCTGCAGAAGCAAAAAGAGCAGAAGTGCTGGGGTAAAAAGGTAGATGATGTCCTATGTATAGAATCAGTGATGACTCAGAATCATCCCTACAGGCCTCTTTTATTGGGAAACAGAATTTAGTGATGTTCAGGTCATTACTAAATTTTTGGCATCTAAGACCTTGTGAATGCAACGGGTTTTCAGTTATCCCAGTCTTCTTTGCAGACAGTTAATATTTTTGCTCTCGTGTAGCACCTCAATAAATGTGTAGTCATTCCAGAACTCTTCAATGTTTGTAGCTTATTTTCATCAACACCAGTTCTAGATATTTTTCATCTTCTGGAGGCTGCACTGAGATTACTTTTGTCACTGCTAATGTGGAAATAGGGGTGAGACAAGGGAGCACAATGCTTGTATACCAATACTTGTCTAACTTAAATGGGATTGGATTTTAGGTTTCTAGGAAAGGAAGTGCATTTACTGTTCAAGACCTCCCATTCTTCACACAAGAAATGCTGATTTGGAGAAACTAATGCATGATCATGTACTCGAAAGAAAGCCAGTGCGTACTCCAAAAGAGTGAAATTAAGGTTATACAGACAGTGCACTGAGACTTTCTGACCTTCTAGTGCTCGATGGTGCAAGCATACCTCTTTTAATATAGTTTTTGTGTATAAAATATTTCAGTATTAGGGGGGAAATATTTTCTTAATGGGCAGAAATTCTTAAAAAAATATATTCAGCTATTTATTAACAGCTGAACAACTTCAGTGTTTATGCATCCAAAATGCCGTATAGCTTTTTCTGACCTTTTTAGCATAATCCTAAGTTAAAGGAGTTGATGGTTAACCTTGTGGGTTTTTTTCCCCATTTGTCTCCTGTTGTCTAAACGACAGTTAACATATACTGCAGGTGGCTGTTAACATCTGTGTTATAACCAGAATCAGAGTAAGATACTGACTCTTGGACAGCCACTTCTGTTTCATTTGGCCTTTCTCATATTTTCTCTAGCTCCTCTTGACTGCCAGCCTTGTGCCAAAGGTTTGCTATTCTTTGTAGGTTCTGTGACAGCATCTCCTGTTGGGGTTTGGACATATTTGTATCACCTTTCTGGGAACCCCTCCACCATTATTTTGGCTATGATGGCAAACATGAAATGATTTATTTCTGTTAGCTCATTGTAGCTTTCTAATGATGAAAAACATGTGTAAAAGGAGGTTGACGGAATGGATGCCAGCCACAAATGTGAACTGTAGCCAACTCTTCCTAACAGTCTTGGTTGGAAAAAAGAACGAGATTTCATGATCTATTTATTCAAACGAACAGGTGAAGCTGCTTGATACATTCACTCTAACATCCTATCACATATTAAGGCATGGGACAGCGGTGAGTTTCAGGGTTTGAAAGGAGTAGAAAATTAAGTAAACAAAGTTCATGTCTTTGAAATATTTTTTTCAGGCTATTTAGCTAGTTATGTGAACTTATTTTTCTTAAATCCTGTGATTTCAAATAGGATTTTGACAGTTCTCTTTCAGCTCAATTCATTCCTTCCCAGTGATAGCTAAACTTTTATCAAAGCAAATATTCAAGAAATACAATGCAATCTGGAGTGGGAAAGCTACTTGAAATACATTCTGGATGCTGACAGGTAGAAAGGGAAATTCTCAGGAGTGCAATATGCGGTGTTCTTGTCAGCCGCCGCTGATAATATAATGTAACTTGTAAGTGAATTAATTGTTGGAGAAAAGATGTGTTATGCTGCTTTATGCTAGATGTTGAGAGACTTGCAACCTCTGCTTACAGCATAAGTGCAGCACCGGCAGCAAAATTGCAATTCCTGCTAATATTTGCTTCGGCTGTGAATCAGAGAGGAGCTGAATTTGTACTGTCTGCGTACATTCATTCCCAGACAGCTCTTCCCAAGCCATGGAAATGAGAACGTGGGTCTTAGCTTATAATGCTGAATTCAGTGAGAGTGCATGTCAAAAGCATATTAATATATTGCCTGCAAGATAGTTAATGTAACCCTTAAACATTTAAATTGAACCTGCGATCAATTCCAGTTGGTCTAAGAGATCAGTTAGTTTATTGGAACCACCTTAATAATGACTGATTTGGTTGAAATTGTCTAAAAACCTGATTGTTCATATCTGTAGCACTATTAGATGTGCTCATAATGTCATATGTGACCGTAACTGAACTGAGATCTATTAACTCTCTTGAGGTATATACACCAGTCATGGGATATAATAGCAGGGGCTTCTGCAGTTTACTTTCTCTGGTTGATTGAAACTGGTGGCGTAGATAAAAGACTCTAGCACCTATAACTGATCCTCAGCTAAGCCATCTAGTTCCTCCTTCATGTGTGGCAATGCCTTCTTGAGGATAAGCTGGGGGTTTTTTGTCCTAGAGGACATGTTCCTCAGTCACAAAGGAACTATAGTACAGTGCTTCATACAGCTTCTCACATAGTGGCTTTATTATGTGTAGCAACAAGAAGTAAATGGAAATTTAATACTTACAGGCTGACCTAAATCTAACTGAACATGCAGCATTAATTTATTTTCTTTAAGTTGTACTGAATGACAAGACTGACTATCTGAAGCTGCAGAGGTTGCTAATAATGTCCCTCTCAGTGCCAGAGTTAGGGTCTGGACTGGGACACCAAAACAAGATCACAAGGTGCTTGCTAGTCATCTGTGCTTGTCTCTCTGCAAGTAAATCCAATAAAACCTTTTATGAATCTGTCAGGCCTCCCCAAGATTTAATAATGATTTCTACGCTAGAATATATTTATCAGCAGTGGTTGAGATGTAATAAGTGCCTGTGCAGAGAGATAAGAATTAAAGTATAAAAAAACCTCTAAGTAAAGATGTTCTGAGCTGCTTCTTGCTGAAAAACAAAAATTAAAACAGTTTTTTACCACATGGTTTTTGGGAAGTTGTAGCACAACATACTTTTTTAAACCTGTATTCAATCTGACTAATAGAGTTAGAAACTCCACGAAGCCAAATGCAAGAGGGGATTCTATCGATGTGTTTACCAGCAAACAACCTGGAATAGCAAATGGAACAATCTGTTTTGCAGTGCTGGGAAGGTCTGGTTTTGTTTGGGGAGATGTAGTTTGGTATTATTGGCAGCAGCCTGCTGCTCAGTTCAAATGGATTCGTTCAGTTTTCTCCATCTCATTATTTTAGGAGCCTCCAGTTTTTTTTCCTTTTGCAGGCAGGCACATTCATGAGCCTGGAGGACATGTACCTTCCTTTCACATTGATCGAGACACACAGCAAGAGTCATGAAGCAGGTGCTCTTCTCTCAAGAGCCAGCTCTGTCACTTCCTATAGGAATGTATTTGAGAGTGGATTTGTAAAGCCACAAACCCTTGCATTGGTCATGGCAATGAAACAAGTTACTGTCTGTTTGCTGTCTCAGCCTAGAGCTTTGTGACTTTGTCTGCCATAGTTATTTAACCATTTAGTTCTTCCTGCTGGTAGTTTTATGACTATGAACCCATGTACCAGTTCAGCGTCTTTCTATACACAGACCTACTCTTTCAGAAAGAGTCAGGCTTTAAGGATTCTCTCTTATTTTGCTGGGGCCTGTTTGAGGATGCACCAGTGGAATAGGGACTGTTGGGAGGAAGACTGGGCCACTCAGCCTACAGAGAAGAGAATGGGAGAGACATCTTGTGTGGGTGGGAAAGGATAAGTTATGGGTAATAGAAGCCTTGAATTTGTATTACATAAGAGAAGATGCAAAGATGCAAAGATGCATTCTTTATGCATCTTAAGACCAGCAACAGAATTACATGCTTTTATAAGCAATGCCAGAGTTAATGGTTAAGCTTCCTAAGCAATGGTAGCTATCCATAAAAAACTTCTGTAACGTTTAGTTTGGATGTTTCTAAAACTATATATACACTCTCAAAGGTGCTCTCAGTGTCACAGCTTTCAACTGTGGCATTCCCTTTAGCCTAACAACAATTCTTCCCATGACAGCAGATGCAATGCAGATTTAGTTGTCTGTGTCCCAAATAACAACTTGTATTATCTTCATAATAATTTTAACAGATTCTTTGCAGCATGACATGCAGTTAAAGCAATCTGGATATTTCCTTGTTTTGAACTAAATATTCAAAATGGAATTTATAATAGATTTATTAATGCAGTAGCCTAATGCTCTGTTGCTCAGGATAATCAGGGCTATTGCCATTCAACTAGAATGAAGAGTTCAGAGGCATGATAAGCTTTTCTAATAAAATTAGAGCGGTCTGACTTCTTGAGCAGTAGGGAAGATGAGGTTTCCAACTGTTTCTACAAGGGAATATAAAAGATGATGTTAATCTCTGGCTTTGGCATATCATACATTAGAAATCAGGCTTAAAATGAAATTTTCTGGGCTCCTGTGGTGAAGGTGGTTTTTTTGGGGTTTGGGGTTTTTGTTTTTTTTTTTTACATCAGATGCATTGGTTTACCTGTAAGCAAGCAAGTTATCCCATAGAATGTCAGTGGGTATAAATTAAGCAACTTTGTTGTGTTAAACCTGAAGCATCCTTAGTATCTTGATGCTTCTGCGTAAAAGGTACAAATTGTTGCATCTTTTTCCAACTAAAAGTTTGTCAAAGTAAGGAAAACGGGAAGAAAAAAAAAAAACTGGCCATGAGGGAAAGTAAAAAGTTCAGAATCTCCTTCTTTAGTATGAGACAGCAATTTATCAAGCGTGGTTTTTTTATGGTGATGCACAGCTGAGGTATGTAAATCTGTGACTGAGAAGGAAAGATTTCCAGACAGATGTCTTGGAATAACTAATGGGTTGAGGTGGGTTAGAGATTTGGGTGCTTGTTAGTCCATGAGTTGTTAATTATAGTTAATGATCATGCATGAACATCTGCAGTATGCAGGGGCAGAATATGCATCTTCATGCCTACAAATAAATGTGAGTGTGTGTATATATGAGCAAAACCCTAGATAATGTGGAGGCCAGTGCATGCAGGTCTCCAGACAAGTTTGTCAGTGTCTTGCACAGAGAGAGTGTTTAGATAGCATTGTAGAGGATAGCGGTGATGAATGCCATCCAGCTGCGACAGATGTCAAGGAGCACTGTCAAGCTATTGGCAAAATTCTGCTGGAGTCCCAGGGCTTATCCGTTCTGGGTCTGCCGTAACGTGTGCTCATTGCACGCATCAGCAATGAAAAACCATTTCTGAGAACAGCCCTGTTGGGCTAGTCAGGTTACCCCGCACCATTCAGCTGTATCTGCTATCAGGGACAAAAAGCCCTTGCTGATATTTTGTTAGTACATGTCATGATTTAACCCCAGCTGGCAACTAAGCCCCACACAGCTGCTTGCTTACTCCCCCCCGCAGTGGGAAGAGGGAGAGAATCAGAAGAGTAAAAGTGAGAAAACTCGTGGCTTGAGATAAAGACAGTTTAATAGGTAAAGCAAAAGCTGCGCACACAAGCAAAGCAAAACAAGGAATCCATTCACTAATTCCCATCGGCAGGCAGGTGTTCAGCCATCTCCAGGAAAGCAGGGCTCCTGATGGAGCATAAACAGTACTTGGGAAGCCAAACGCCATCACTCTGAACGTACCCCCTTCTTCCTTCTTCCCCCAGCTTTATATGCTGAGCATGACATCACATGGTCTGGGATATCCCTTGGGTCAGTTGGGGTCAGCTGTCCCAGCCGTGTCCCCTCCCAGCTTCTTGTGCACCCCCAGCTGCTCGCTGGTGGGGTGGGGTGGGGTGGGAGGCAGGAAAGGCCTCGACTCTGTGTAAGTGCTGCTGTATCAAAAACATCTCCATATTATCAACACTGTTTACAGCACAAATCCAAAACATAGCCCCATACTAGCTACTGTGAAGAAAATTAACTCTACCCCAGCTAAAACCAGCACAGTACATTGTAATGCGCTGAAATTACAATTGCTAAATGAGCTTTCTTCGGGAAATCAGTAAATACGTGGATTTTTGCTTGTCTGTTTCTTATGGTCAGCTGCCAAAGACTGGGGATCTGCATGGAAAAGCATAAAGGGGGGACTATATGTTTCTAAGTTGATTTTACAATGAGAAAAAAATCCAATCAACCCGTTAAAAAGCACAGTGGAGGTGGAAAAAAAAGCTCTGTTATTGTGCTAGAAATAGTCAATCTGATACTCTAGGAGGGTAAAAATTGCTATGAGATTAGAAGTGTGGCACCAGCTACTGCAAATGGACGCAGCTGCATGGGGAGCTTCCCTCTGTGGCTCAGAGTGTCAGAAGCCATTTCTGAAATGCTCATCAGGTCGTCGGGGCTGAGTGAGAGCCACGGAAGTCAAGCAGATCGGAGTTCCGATGAGCGAGAGCAGTAAGCAGCCTGCTTCAAGCAGGAGAAACTGGAGGCGCTTCTATACCACAGCTAAATTGTGACTAACAGAAACAATGGTTTGTGGGCTGCGTTGGCAGAAAGAGATTTCTGCTCTTAATTGAGGGAGAGCTTCACGTGTTGTGCTGTAGAGAAACCAAATATATATGGGAAACCTAGAAAGGAGAGCGAGCAAGCATTTCATAATATCGGTCCCGCAGTACTTGGTAGAAACTATGATGTTTCAATCAGGCCTTGTTAATTTATTTTTGTGTCCAATTTTTAACTTTCAGTACTAAAATATGTTTTGCTATTGCCTGACACAAAATCTGTACCAAAGTTCCAGATAATGTATTTTGTAAAAGAAGAGAGGTTTGTCCTACTTTGAAAGGAGTTCTGTTATTAGTAGTTAAAACATACACAAGTTACATAGAAACAGTTAAGCATTAAGTTAAGGTTATTCTCTAGGTTATGCTTTATATTAATTATTGAAACCAAATAGAAATAGCTGTTTTCTTTCTTTGTTCTTTTTAACTAGGTTACAGCCATCCCTCTCTGATAAAGCTTCTACAACAGCCACAGAACTTGGTAAGTGAATTAAAACATTAAGTGCTTGAAAGAGTCTTCTCCCTCCTTGTGGCGGTCTGCCTTATTTTTTATTAAATTGATAATGAATGCTTAATGACTCAATTGAAGAGTATGGTAGGATCTGCTTTCTTTATTTCTCACTAGATGAAAAGCGATTGGTAGTGTTTAAGACGACACCAGAACCTCTGTGAAGCTTTACAAGCAGCAAACATTTGGGTAGTGCAAGCACTTGATACGTTCGCAGCCAGTTTTAGATCATAGTTCGAGCATAGTGTTTCCAGTTAATCATTTTAGCAATGTTCTTGAGTGAAGATTTTTGCACCTGAAAGTAAGCACAAGTCTGCGAGAGAGAATATAGTATTTTGAATATGAAAATGGTGCCCTAAATCTGGAATGCTTTGGGTGGTTGGTGGGTTTGGGGTTTTTTTTGGGGGGTTGGGGGTAGTGGCTGGCTCCCGTCTCCTACGTATGAAGTTGACTAAACCACTGATGTGTCCTTGAAAAATTAAAATTGTTAGACTAGAGCAACAGGATTATTTCAAACAGAGTAACTGCTTCTTAAATAAAGTATCTTCCCATTTTCCCTAACAGTATGCTGATAGTGATTGGAAATAACCTGGATTAAATTATGGAACTTGTTGAAATGAAATTGCATTCTATTTCAAGCTTCATTTTTTTCACTTCTTGGACAGAAGTTTTGGATTCCCTAATGATTTTATGCAGTTTTTTAAATTTTAATTTTTTGTGGCGCAATAGCTTATATATATAGTACATGGATAAACTGAGCTCACTTGCTTTTGACTGCACATCAATAGATCCTTGTTGGTTGTACTGACTTTAGTGATTGAGCCCCTGGTTCTGAAACCAGTAACGGGCGTCCACGCTGCCTGCAAGGGCATAGCTCAAGTGTGGGCCAGTTCCCTCTCATACCTGTATTTCCCTTCCTAAAGAGCCTGCTGGCTCTCTCCAGCAGAGTGTAAATCCCGAGCCAGCATGTTAAAGAAGTGCAGACATTTGAGTTCCCTGAGCTGATTTGCTTTATGGAGTTCTCATTCCTTCAGGGTGAGAAATTCTGCCTTCCCCAGAATTAAATATGTCAAGTTTTTTTTAAAAAAAAAAAAAATACCAGAGCTAGAAATGCTGGGAGTTATCAAAGGCAGATCCAGATATCACAGAAGCACTAGTATTTCTAAATACTTACATTAACTCTTAAAAATTGTTTCTGAGGAGGTAATATCTTCATTATAATGCAGCAGTAGACAAAGTCAGATTTAAAAAAACAAACCAAAAAAAGCCAAAAAACCCAAAACCAAGAAGAAAACAGAACCGAAAAACCTATTGTCTGGTGGCAGCTGCTAATTTGTCAGCTGGAAAAGGGAAGTTTTAGAAGTCTAGAAGCCTGCAGTAAAAGGAACTGCCTGCAAAGTCCAAAGTGAATGGTGCAACCAGGACCCTTCTCTCCCACATATGAACATCAAAGATGTTATTGGTACCCTGTCCCGATTTCTGACACCTGCACTAATTCAGTGGAGAGGGTGGCACTAAACCTATTAGTCTGTGCCTGACTATGCGCTTAGGATTTCTGGCAGCCTTTAGCCTGGGCGCAGTGTGGGCAGGATGTCAGTTTTGCAGCGCCAAGGCCAGAGAGCGGTGAAGAGCCAGAGCCTGTGCAAACCTGGCTGCAGATAGGAGTGTGTGCTGGGGTCTGACTGCAGATAAAGTGCCAGCTTTATCGTGCAAGTACTCCTTTTGAGTAATACACACTGAGATAGGGCCCTTGTTTAATGTTAATGATGGGGTCGGTGTTTTCTTGTAGGGATTTTTTGTTTGGTTTGTTTGTAATGCTCCACGTACCCTCTTTATGGCCAGCTATAAAGAACAGAATATGCATCCGTTCATTTGAGACCATAGCAGCTTGATGTTGACGTTCTGTTTTTCTCAGTACTGAGTATCTCGTTAACAACAAAAGAACAATACACTTTTCTGCTTAATGGCAAATGTTGTCAATTGGCTGTGACAGCCCATAATCAAATTCACGAGAGATTTATGGTCTTGTATCTCTAACTTTATATGAAAGTTTACTTCTAAACTGAGATAAAAAGTCAAGTAAGATTTCTCATACGTACTAAACAAAACTTTTGTGTTAATCTGTCAGTAACATCCTTGCTTAATGGTTTTTTTTAGGCTTGAGTCTGTTGAAACAAACATTGTTTTGGAAGTAACACACTTGTACAAGTTAAAGTCCTAGCTCATATTCTCTTGTAGCTTGTGTGATATTTGGTTTTCCCTAAGAATTCCGATGAAATGTTCTTACAGGTACAGTGTGACCACTCATACCTCTTGCTGTGGTCCATACATCTGAATAAATGAGTACTTGTGGAAAAAGGTTGAAAGATGCTGATAAATGTGCAAGCTTGAGTTGCACTGAAAATACGAATGTTTTGGGGGAGGCAGTCTGGGCCCTCTGGAGAACCATGAAGACTTAAGTCATCGAAGCTCAGCCTTTAATTTCAACGATGACTTGTTACAACAACAAGAAAAACAACAAACAAACAAAAAAAAAGGGCAAATAATGCTGCTTTGCAGTTGGCAAATTTATTGAGCTTGTCCTTTTCTGAGCAAATTTAATTTAAAATAAAAAGTGGCACATTGTGAATCAAGTAAGATTACCTACAAAGACTAAGAGCAATGATGAATCAATTCTAATCCATAACACTTAAAGTAATTGGCATAAACATGACAAATTCATCTCCAGTAGTGGACTGTGGAGACTGAGGGGGGGTTTCCAGAGCTGCTTTTGAGAAAAACCTGTGTGGGTAGCAGGCTCAGCTTTCCCACCAGCTGCTATTCACTGACACCAAAATTACCTTTCTCAAAGGTGTGAATCCTGATGTGGCCAGTTATAGGACCACTGGGACAATTTAAGTTGCAAGGGACCTCAGGTGCTCTCTTGCCCAACCTGCTGCTCAAAGAGATCAGACTCTGAGATCAGACCGGGTTGCTCAGGGCTTCATCTGGGGTCTTGAAAACCTCCAAGGAGGGAGACTGCACAACCTCTTTGGGCAACCTGTTCTACTGCTTCCCTCTTTGCTCTTGGTGAAGAAGCTTTTCCTCATACCCAAATCAGTTCCTCTCGTGTTTTGATTTATGCCCATTGCTTCTTATCTTCCCATTGAAGAGCCTGGAGCCTGGCTCCATCTTCTCAGTAACCTCCACATAGGTATGGGAAAGCTGTGTTCCTGTGATCAATTCTGTGATTACCGAGGCTCTTGCAGCAACACAGATTCAGTTCTGCTGACAGATGGGGAAAGGGAATGGTTAGAGAAAAGAATTCTGGGAAGCAGACATGAGTTCAACCAGGTAGTCTCCTGGCAGGCTATGGAATTCCACTGTTAGGAGAGATCACATTGCATCCATGAAGATGATTTCAGCGTAGTGGCTCCTGGTCCATGTCAGACCTCAATCAGGAAATGGAAAGGAGAAAATTGGGAAGCTAGAAATCTGCTGTTGTAATGCACAATAAAGAATGTACTTGTAATTCAGGCTGCGGCACTGAGAAGGGTGACTGTGCAAACTGAAGGCCCTAGAACAGGAAGTATTTACCTGCAAATCGGCAAGCTTCATGAAAACAGTACATGGTTGAAAAGGAATTTCACCAACATGTCTGGATATATCATGGTCAATGTTCTTGAGCTTGATTAAACACATGTTGCTGAGTAGCGAGGTAATAACATGCAGGGTCACTTCTCACCGATCTTCTCACTGCGCTGCCCATTACTGTACATGCCAGGAGTCTAGAAGGGAGACAGCACACCTGTGTGCACAGGTTTTTTTTCAGGAATCTGTTTTATTGTAGTGTTGTGTTGCTGATCCTTGAATGTGTGTTGTCTTTCGCAGATGTAGCCCCTATCCATTAAGTTTATCTTTGTCTTGTCGTGTCGTGTCCCGTGTCCCACACACCCACCTCCCCCACCCCCAGTCCGTTGTATCTGGAGAATGTTTATAACCACAGCATTCTGAAATGGTCTGTCTTGAAGCTCAGTAAGGAAGAAAGTGCTGCTATCCTAATTGAATTTAGATTTAGCTACTCAAACTGAAGACAAATAATTAAGATTTTAAAGTGTATTTCCTGTGTATAAGGAAATTGAGATGGAGCAACTAAAATGGCAATATTGAAGAAGAAATGTCAGTATCAGTTAGCATGCACCTTTTCTAAGGTGTCCTGTAAGAACATATTAAGGATTAGACAGAAAAACTTTTTCTAAGACATTAATATTCCTTGGTTTTAAAACTCCTGGTGCCACGACTATAAATTTCTGGCTGGTATTTGTAACTAGAATAAAATGTAACTGCCTTGATAGCAACATTATATTTTTCATGTGATAATAAAAGCTAACAGTTTCTCTTCCTTTGTCTTTGTAGAGCACTTTTATCAACAGACCTGCCCTAGGGATTTTACCTCCAGAGAACTTTGCAGAAAGACTGAAGGAATCTTTGTTATCAGTAAGTGTGAGATAACAGTGATGAGCTACCATGTTCTGTTCATAAGGACACGGGCATATCAAGGGATGTTATGGATTTTAATAGGGAACATTACAGATTAGCTGTTTGTCCACCTGCTTTCCCACTGCAAGTAATGAGATCAAACCCTTTTCCCTGACTTGACAGCTGAATGTGAGAGGGTGGCGTGTCTGCTCTGTGCAGATACTGCCTATTTCATTCTGGCTTCAAGAACTGATGAGAAAACACATTTTCACGAACTTCTGTTCGCTGTGCTTTCATAAGAGATAGTGGAATAAGTGGCTTCTGTTTGTCTTGATTTAAATTTGAAGATCCTTGGGACTGAAACTGAGTCAAGCCCTCTCAGCTGCAGTTGAAACTGGCTTTCCTCATCGTAGGCATGGTTGGTCTCCCATTATACTGAAGCTTGTGATGTTAAGGACTGATCAGTATTATCATCACTTTGCGCTATACTTGTGCTTAATACTTTGGAGTAATTTTCTGTTTTCATTGACAGGTGGCTCCTAAAGGCCTGCCACAGGTGATCACCATGTCTTGCGGATCCTGCTCTAATGAAAACGCTTTTAAAGCAATATTTATGTGGTACAGAGTGAGTAAAATATTAAGATGGTTTTTGTAGGTTTAGATGTAGGAGTGAGTATTTATTCATTTCAGAACTGTTACTGTAAAACAAAGTAAGGCTTGGAGGTTGTCTTGTTCATGATGTTGTTTATATTCAACCTAGTATAAAATCTTTTATTAAAAACTTCATCTAAGCTTTCACTTTATATTGACAGAACTTTAGAAATTATAAAGAAAAGGAAATAAAGGAAATGCAGATTGCAGTCAGTATGTAAAAGCCACAGTCAGTGTCTTCATTGGCTTTAATTTGGAATACCAGCATTACTAATTTGTGAGTCAGCCATAAATGCATTGGTTACAACTACAGGAAAACTATCTGTTGGTTTGGGTTTGTTTTGGTTTTTTTTCAGAACAAGGAGAGGGGCCATAATAATGTCACAAAAGAGGAGCTGGAATCTTGCATGATTAACCAGGTAACATTTGTTCTTTGCCACACCTACAGATGTACCATTGTCTTGGGTTTATAAGGGAAGATTGGGAGGAAAAATTGGCTTTACTACCTCTGAAGTGGAATCTCAGTTTTGTAAATTTAGGAAATAGTGAAATACAACCTGCTCCCAACAAATATTGAGACCTGCTGCTTGCATTCTTTTGTATCCTTCCCAGTTGTGAATCTTGTGGAAGATCTCCCTTTTTTTCATGACATATCATTTGCTAGAGAGGGGCCCATGTGATGGATGGGCCCATGGAGATCATTAATACATGGAAAAGTTTACAAATAATAACAGACCTTCTAATTTTTTTTCAGAAGTTGTGATTTTATGGCTTAAAACTGATCAAGGGGTTGGCTAAAATTTGACTGACTAAATGTTAACAACAGGCAGGATGAGGAAATTGAGATGCAGCTGATAAACCTCTGAAGTCCTATTCACCTTCAACCAAGGTGGTCTTGCTTTTACCAGTCACAAATCTTAACATGCAACAATAGCAAAAACCAGAGTATTTAATCTCTTCTTTGAGATAAACATGTTAGAAATTAATAACCTGCTGGTTCCAGCCTGATCTTTAGCACTTCTGTAGTGATGAGCATTCAATTCATTCACAGGGGATTAGGGAGCTCATTTGGCTTTGAAAATGAGGAGGGTTCTTATAGGGGTTTTTTTTGTTTTGCTTTGTTTGTCTTTAGAATTGTTTTTTTAAGTTCTGTGATGTTGCTTACAGCATGGTCAGGCAGATGGCTGTGCCAATACAAATAAGAGAATGGCACATCATGACCTGAAGGAGCAGGAATTCTATAAGATGACCAAAGACTTGTAAAACTAATGATCACTTTTTGTTCAAGTTTAGCTATCTAAACATTAGGATTCCTCTTTGAGCTAATTGTCTGAGTTCTCTTTACAGTTGGGGGAGGGAATGGATTTGAGAGGGCAACTCCATCTCCCTTTTGGCCAGGGGATCCTCCAGAATCCAGTTACAAATATTGGAGCCTTGAACCTGTAACTGAGTGTGGGTTACAAGATGAAAGGTGTAACCAGAGTGTGTAAGTGGTGACAATCTTCTCACTTGCAGGATAAGAGAGGGGCATAAAGAAAGAGAATTTGTATTTTCAGAGAGGGCAGGGGGTTAGCCCAAGTATATCCTTTTCTTAAACTCCAGATAGTATACAGTTTGCATGTCTTTTGTCATAGTTCCTTCTCATTCCTGGTACAGCGAGTTATCGGGAATGTGCGGGGCATCCTGCATGGATGCAGCCCCAGCCTCTCCTTGCAGAGCCCCCACAG